AAGCAAGTCAGAAAGATAAATATAAATATCATATACTGACACATACATATGGACTCTGAAGAGATGGTATGATGAATTTATTTTTATGGCAACAATAGAGAAACAGACATAGATAACAGATGGATGGGACGTGGTGGGAGGAGAGGAGGGAGAAGGGGAGATGTATGGAGAGAGTAACATGGAAACTTACAACAGATAGCCAATGGGCATTTGCCGTATGTCTCAGGAACTCAAACAGGGGCTCTGTGACAGGCTGAAGGGTGGGATGGCTAGGGAGACGGGGAGGAGATTCAGGAGGGAGGTGACATAGGTGTACCTGTGGCTGATTCTTGTTGTATGACAGAAAGCCACAAAATTCTGTAAAGCAATTATCCTTCAATTAAAAAAAATAATTAAAAAAAAAGAAAGAAAAGACAAAAATCAGAGTACTGATTGGAATGGGCTTCCCTGGTAGCTCAGCTGATAAAGACTCTGCCTGCAATGCAGGAGAACCTGGTTCAATTCCTGGGTTGGTAAGTTCTCCTGGAGAATAGATCGGCTACCCACTCCAGTATTCATGGGCTTCTCTGGTGTCTCAGATGATAAACAATCCACATGCCATGCAGGAGACACTGGTTTGACCCCTGGGTCGGGAAGATTCCTGTAGAGAAGGGTATGGCAATCCACTCCAGTATTCTTGCCTGAAGAATCCCTACGGGCAGAAGAGCCTGGTGGGATCTTCTATGTGGTCACAAAGAGTCAGACACAACTGAGTGTCTAAGCACAGCACAGCACGTTGATAGGAATATAAGATTACTGGGTTAGATGCAAACTGAGTAATGTGCAACTTTGGAGTTATCTGTCTACAAACAGAAATTATTTGGATTTAGACAAGACAAAAATCTACAAGTTAACATCTAACATCAGTAAGTCTGGAACCTTAAATCAATAGTGAATAGAGAGCTGAATAAGTTATTATCCAAGGTTTCCCAGATCAGGGGTTGGCAAATTACAACCTAGGTCTCCCACAACAGGGGTTGGTCTGTGGGCTAAATCTAGCCACTCATTTATTTACAAATGGTGTATGGCTGCTTTCATGTTATGACAGAGTTGAGTATTTGTGAGATGGTATGGCCCAGAAAAGTCAAAATATTTACTATCTGGACTTTTATAAAAAAACATTTTCTGATCATTGTCCTGACAATCCTTGGATGACCTTCACTTTCTTATGACATTGAAAATATGTGGCCCCAAACTTTTTGTATTATTTTTGTTTTGGATACTTTTTCTAATACTACTATGATTCTGCCATGGTGAAAAGGTTATCTTCCTCTTTTATGTTCACATATTTATTTATATCTTTCTTTTCATATTATCTGTGGTATTATGACCTCTTTACTGGATTTAAGCTTATTAGGAATATCTCATTCATCTTTGAATCTGCACTTAGCACGGTGCTTTGCAAACAATAGATATTCAATACATTTTCACTGAAATGGAAAAAAAAACAAATAAAATAACTTTTAGTTTCATTAATCTTTGCTATTCTTTTTCATTTCATTTATTTCTGCTGAGACGTCTACGATTTCTTTCTTTCTACTTTTAGTTTCTTTTTCTTTCTCCAGTTTCTTTGTGTGTGAAGATAGGTTGTTTGAGATATTTCTTGTTTCCTGAGATGAGATTGTATTACTATAAACTTCCCTCTTAGAACTACATTTGCTGCCTCCTATAGGTTTTGTATTGTCATGTTTTCATTGTCATTTTTCTGTAGATATTTTTTCAATTCTCCCTTTGATTTCTACAGTTACCCATTGATTACTTAGCAACATAGTGCTTAGATTCTATGTGCTTGTGTTTTTTGCATTTTTTTTTCTGTAGTTGATATCTAATCTCAGCATTGTGGTCAGGAAAGTTGTTTGATATGAATTCAATTTTCATAAAATTTATTAAGGCTTGAATTGCTCCCTAAGATGTGGTCTATCCTGGAGAATATTCCATATGCACTTGAGAAGAATTTGTATTCTGTTGTTTTCAGATGGATTGTCCTATAAATATCAATTACATTTATCTGGTCTAATGTGTCATTTAAAACTTGCATTTTCTTATTAATTTTCTGTTTGGATGATGTAAAGAGTGGTGTAAGCAGCATGTTAAAATCCTTACTAATAATGCATTATTATTGATCTCCTCTTTTATGGCTGCTACCATTTACCTTACATATTGAGGTGTTACTATGCTGGGTGCATATATGTTTACAATACTTATGTCTTCTTCTTGGATTGATCCCTAGATCATTATATAATGTCTTTTTTGTCTCATAATATTTGCTTTAAAGTTTATTTTGTCTGATATGAATATTTGTACTCCAATTTCATTTTTCCTTTTTTTTCCCAGATTGTTCTTTTACTTTTTTTAACTTGAGGTGTATTAGCTTTGCAATATTGTGTCTGTTTCTGCTATACAATGAAGTGAATCAGCAATATACATACATATATTGCCTCTCTATCAGATCCCCTTCCACACCCTCCATTCTATCCATCTGGGTGACTACAGAGCACCAAGCTGAGATATGCTGTAAATTTGCACTTCATATCTATTTTATACATGGCAGTGCACATAGGTCAATCTGATTTACCAATTCATCCCAGCCATCCCCACCTCCACACATTTGATTGCTATGTCTGCCATTTTCATTCCTGCCCTGCAAATAGGTTCAGCTGTATCATTTTTCAAGATTCCATATACATGCACAAGTATATAATTATTGTTTTTCTTCTGACTTACTTCATTCTGTATGAAAGACTCTACATTTATCCACATCTCTATAAATAACATAATTTTGGCTTTTTATGACTATTATACTGTTGAATATACATAGCACACCTTCTTTATCCATTTACCTGTCGATGGACATTTACATCTGTCCTGGCAATTGTAAATAGTGTGACAATGAACATTGATTTGCATGTGCTGTTTTGAATTATGGTTTTCTTAGGATATGTGCTCAGGAGTGGGGTTACTGATTCATATAGTAGCTCTATTTCTAGTTTAGTGTTTTGTTTTGTTTTGTTTTGCTTTAAGGAATCTCCATACATAGGGACTGTATCAATTTATATTTTCACCAACAGTGCAAGAGGGGATTCCTTTTCTTTGCACCCTCTCTAGCATTTATTTTCTTGTAGATTTTCTGATGATGACCATTCTTACAGGTATGAGATGTTACTTCATTGTAGTTTTGATTTGCATTTCTCTAATATTGGCAACATTGACCATATTTTCAATCGCTTCTTGGCCATCTGCATGTCTTCTTTGACAAAATGTCTATTTATGTCTTTTGGCCATTTTTTATTTGGTTGTTTGTTATTTATGTTGAGCTTCATGGCAGTGAAAGCTTCTCAGTCATGCCCGACTCTTTACAACCCCATGGACTATACAGTCCATGGAATTCTCTAGGCCAGAATACTGGAGTGGGTAGCCTTTCCCTTTTCCAGGGGATCTTCCCAACCCATCTTGCCTCCTTTGCCATAGATTAAGTGAAAATGGGTGCATGCGTTTATCTCTGGGATTACTATCCTATTCCATATATTTTTATTTTTGCTCCAGTAACACATTGTTTTCATGACTGTTGTTTTACAGTATAGTTTAAAGTCAGGGAGTCTGCTTTCTCCAGTTCAATTTTCCCTCTGAAGCCTGCTTTGGCTTTTCAGTGTCTTTTATGTTTCCATACCAATTGTAAACTTTTTTGTTCTAATTCTGTGAAATATACTATTGGTAATGTGATATTAATTGCACTGAATCTGTAGATTATTTTTTATAGAATAGTTATTTTCAAAATATTGATTCTTCCAATCCAAAACTATGGTATATTTCTTTTTTAAAAATTTTTATTATTATTTTTTTATAAACATGTTTTATTTGTTTGCTTATACCATCAGAAGTGAAACTATTGACTGTCATTTCCCTAAAATAGGGAAATCAATCTAAAACACATACTGATGCTTTTCAAAAGATAGCAAGTTAAAAGGGTGGCAGCAGCGGGTATTTGATGTCTTTTTCTTTTAAAAACTTTCAGGCTGCAGGAAAAATATGTGACCAAGAGTGTTACCATTATCCATTAGATTTTCATCAGTATCTGTACCAATTTAGGTGACAATACAGCAAGATCCAAGGATTAGTGACAGACAATGTACATCATAAGGAATGATATATACTACCAATCCTTACAAAAGTCATTGTCAAAGAAACTGTTAAGTGTTCAAAAGGTATCTAAATATTTCACATTAAGTACAGAAGCGGCCATCCAGATTATATCCCTTAATTGTTGCATAATTTTCAATTTTTTGAAATTTTGCATTTTGGCTTTGTCTTACATAGTATCAGCTGTTAAAAAGCAATTTACATATGTCTTAAACCACAGTCATCTGGCCAGAGGATGAATAGTGCCTTGTCAAAGCCTAAGGCTGGTACCCAACCTTGTATATGTGATTAAGGGCCCATGCATACTTTGGTATGCATCTAAATGTTCAGTGCTCCAATTTAACTGGACAAGGTGTGAAATGCAGTTGTTCTGCTGAACCACGCTCCACTCCTTCCATCTTCCTTTCAAGGGAAATATTTTAGTTTTGTCAGTTACCATTGAATGACTCTAGGGCTGATTTGTAGATTTTATCCAATGTCAGAAGTCAATCTTGCTTTATCCAAGCCACTTCAAACAACTATAGAGATATCACCCCATTAAAGTATATTATGTTTTGCTCCTAAGCAAGAGTGAAGAATCTGAGTATTATGTGCAAGGCTCAAGATGACGCTTAGGACAGAACATGGAGAGTAAAAATAGTTACCCTCCATATCCAGGCAATATAAAGCTGACAATTGTAGTCCTGTCTTTATGGGATGAAAACAGCCCCTTTACAATAAGTTTCCTGAAAGGGAGAACAAATAGGTAATAACTCTTCTGGTAACATATTATGGTACACTGGCCAGTGTGTTTTTGGCTATTAAACATAATTCTGTGAATTGGATTAATTCACTTGCTTAGTGTTCATTTGCGGCATCCCTCTGTTGGGTCTTGGGGGCCCTCCACGACCTTGTGGGCCTCCCCGTGGTCCACTCTGCTCAGAGCCTCGCTTGAAATTCTGCTGACATCTATCCCGCTGATAGCCAGAGTAGTCCCGGGGAGCACTGAACTGAGATTGTGTATAACCACTGTTTGGAGTGTTAGTAGAGAATGAAGGGCAGTAACCATCATATCCTCCTCTGAATCCATTAGCAGGTCCTCTGTATCCATTCATCAAGCCTCAAGCAGCACGGAAACCTCCACGAGACACACCATGACTGTTGTAATAGGGCTGACTGCTACGTGGAAATCCAGTGTTCTGCTGAGGAGGCTGCTGGTGGTTACCAGTTACTTGATGGGGCTGGTCCTGGGAACCATGATAAGTGCCAACCACTGTTTGAAGTTGTTCTTGCTGAAGCTCTGTTTGTTCTACTTGGTGAGGTTGACTGGAAAAGCTCTGGTTATAACTGGCTTGGTATTGATTTTGCTGTTTTTAAAGTTTCTGGTTCATTAACAGGAGGAACTGGGGCATTCATATTGAACACTGTTTGCATGAATTGGAATGGAGCTGCATTTACATTGATTCCACTGCTATGTAAAGGTTTGCTTGTCCTAGCCTGGAACACTTGAGGCTGAGAAGCAGCAGGAAGGGATGATGATGCTGTAGTCTGTTTTGTATTTAAAGAGATCGTTGCCTGAATCTGGTCAATTGGTTCCTTTTGTGGTCGTTGCTCAGTAACATGAGAAAGTTGGTACAAGGGTTGAGATGCTGTATATCCCTCACTTGTGGATGAAACCAAAGGAACCTGTGTAGCTTCTGGCTGTACAGAAACTTGATTAGGTTGAGCAAGTCTAGATTCAGAATGAACTGGAGGGCAAACCAGCTGGGGTATGTCCATGTTCTGTGCTGGATTCATTGGCTGTGCAGATACAATGGCAGGGTCAAGTGTCTGGTTTTCAAAATCCAGCATTGAATCCTGTATGAAGTTATCGGGCCCCTGAATTTGTGCCATAAGTTCCTGTATTTTCTGTTTTCTCATAAGTGGATGAGCCTGAGCCGCTGGGGTCAAAGAGTGGGGTTCTGGTACTGAAGGAGATGCAGCCTGAGGTTGCTGCTGGAGTGAATTTACCACCTCAACTGTTTCTACTGTCCATTCATCTACCTGCTCCTTTTCACCACTGCTGAACTGTGTTTCTGCCATAAATTGTCTATTTACATTTTCTGTTGATTCAAACTCATTTTGTTCAGTGTATTCTTCCGCTGGCTCAGGTTCAGCTTCAGCTACCTGGTCTTCAACTGTAGGTGCTGAGGCTGCCTCCTCTTCCTCACACAGACCGTTCTGGTGGTTGTGGGTGCTGTCAAAGTAGTTTGACTGGAAAACATGCTCAACAATTTCCTTTAGAGCTTTATAAGTTGTTCCACATCCAGGTTTTTCCTTTCCTTCCAGCAAGTCCCACAGGTGAATGGAGGCATGTTCATACTGCTAATTCAACCTCAAGCTCATGTCTCGTTCAGGGTCTGCTAATTTGTAGAACTCATCTAACAATGACACTTCCTCTTCAGACAATATTGGCACTCCATTCAAACCTTGCTTCAGGTCACTTCTCACTTCATCATCTCCCAGTTTGTCCAAAACATACTGCAGCTCAAGTACTGTTTTTTAAAAAATATGGAACACTTCACGAATTTGCATGTCATCCTTGGGCAGGGGCCATGCTAATCTTCTCTGTATCATTCCAATTTTTAGTATATGTGCTGCTGAAGTGAGCACAAAACTATGGTATATTTCTAAAACTCTTTCTGTCATCTTTGATTTTTTTTTTTTTTACTAGTGTCTTATAGCTTTCTGAATGTAGAATTTTTTTTTTTTTTTTTACTTTCTTTAGTAGTTTCATTCCTATGCACTTTATTCCTTCTGATGCTATGTTAAATGTGATTGATTCCCAGATTTCTCCTCCTGGTCTTTTGTTGTTAGTGTATAGGAATGCAAGAAACGTCTGTGTATTAATTTTGTATCCTGCAAATTTACTAAGTTAATTGATTAGGTCTAGTAGTTTTCTGGTGGTGTCTTTAGGATTTTCTATCTATAGGATCATGGTATCTGCAAACAGTGACAGTTTTATGTCTTCTTTTCCACTTTTAATTCCTTCTGTTTTTGCTCTTTTTCACTGATTATGTTAAGAACTTGCAGAACAATGTTGAACAATAGTAATGAGAGTGGACATCCTGCCCACAAGGATCTCATTCAGGTTCAGTGGAGAAATTAAAAGTTTTACAGATAAGCAAAAGTTAAGAGAATTCAGCACCACAAAACCAGCTTACAAGTAGTAAAGGAACTTCTCAAGACAGGAAACACAAGAGAAAGAAAAGACCTACAAACACAAACCCAAAACAACAAAGTAAATAGTAATAGGTTCATACATATCAATAATTACCTTAAGTATAAATGGATGAAATGCTCCAACCAAAAGACACAGACTGGATGAATGTATATGAAAACAAGACCCATATATATTTGGTCTACAAGAGACCCTTTTCAGACCTAGGGACACTTACAGACTGAAAGTGAGAGACTGGAAAAAGGTATTCCATGCAAATGTACATCAAAAGAAAGCAGGAGTAGAAATATACTTATCAGGTAAACTAGACTTTAAAGTAAATATTATGAGTCAAGGAAGGACACTACATAATTATTAGTGTCATTATATCCACTGAAAATGGATTAAAGACATAAACCTAAGGCCAGAAACCATAAAACTCTTAGAAGAAATTATAGGCAGAACACCCTTTGTCATAAATTACAACAAGATTCTCTATGACCCTTTTCCTAAAGTAATAGAAATAGAAATAAAACATAAACAAAAAAATTACAGCTGATTAAACATGCAAGCCGTTGCACAGCAAAGAAAAAATTAATATGTCAAGATGAAAAAAGTCAATCCTCCGAATGGGACAGAATATTTGCAAATGAAGCTACTGACAAAGGATTAGCTTCCAGCATATATAAGCAGCTCTAGCAGCTCAAGTGAGCAGAAGACCTAAAAAGACACTTTTCCAAAGAAGACATACAGATGGCTAACAAACAGGTGAAAAGATGATCAACATCACTAATTATTATAGAAATGCAAGTTAAATCTCAAATAGGGTACCACTTCACACTAGTCATAATACCCATCATTGAAAGATCTATAAACAGTAAATGTTGGAGAGTATGTAGATAAATGGGAATCCTCTTTGTACTGTTGGTGGGAATGTAAATTTATATAGCCTCTATGGAGTATAGTATGGAGCTTCCTTAACTAGGAATAAAGCTACCGTATAACCCAGCAATCCCACTACCAGGAATATCACCTCAGAAATCCACAATTTTAAAAGACATATGCATCCCATTGTTCACTGAAGCATTATTTACTATAGCCAGGCATAGACACAACCTATACATTCATTGATAGTTGAATGGATAAAGAAGTTGTAGTAATATAAAAGGGAATATTACTCATCCATAAAAAGGAATGGATTTGAGTAAGTGGTAGTGAGGTGTATGAGGTTTAGAGCCTGTTATAAAAAGTGAAGTAAATAAAAAGGTGAAAAATAAATATATTAAAGCATGCTAATTGGAATCTATAAAAATAGTGCTGATGAACATATTTTCAGGACATGAATGGAGACACAGACATCAAGGACAATCTGTGGACATGATGGGGGAAAGAAAGTTTTGGATGAACTGAAAAATTACAGTTGACATATATGCACTAACATGTGTAAAATAAATATCTAGTGGGTGCTGATATGTGATACAGGGAGCCCAGCCTGGCAGTCCTTGATGACCTAGAGGAGTGGGATGTGGGTATTAGGAAGAACCTCAAGATGGAGGGGATCTATACATATATATGACTATACATATACCTATCGATATCTAGCTATGACTGATTTTCATCGTGGTATGATGGAAACAGCACAACATTGTAATTGTCCTCAAATTAAAATTAAAATAGGTAATTATCAATATGCATGTTTCTATTGCTATTTCTTAATTGTTTTGAGTTGAAGTTGTAGGTTTTTTTTCTCTTTTGTTCCCTGCTTTAAGAAATTCCTTTAGTGTTTCTTGTAAAGCTGGTTTAGTGGTGCTGAATTCTCTAAGCTTTTTCTTCTCTGTAAAGCTTTTGATTTCTTCACTAAAGCTGAATGTGCTACTGAGTAGAGTACTCTTGATTGTTATTTTTTTTTTCTTTTCATTACTTTAAATGTATCTTCATACTCCCTTCTGGCCTGCAGAACCTGTGCTAAAAAATCAGCTGATAGTGTTATCTGGAATTTCTCATATGGTATTTCTTGATTTTTCCTTTATATTTTTAATATTTTTATTTTTTTATTTCTTTCCCCCCCCTTTAGTTTGATTAACTATGTTTTGTCCTGTTTCTCCTTTACTTTATCTTGTATAGGACTTTGGGTTTCCTGCACTTGAATTTTTACTGTCCTATGTTAAGATAGTTTTCGATTATAATCTCTCCAAATATTTTCTCAGAGCTTTTCTCTCTCTTTCTTTTCTGGAACCCCTTCTGACCACCAGTTAAGAACACCCTTTGTCATAAATTACAACAAGATTCCCTATGACCCACTTCCTAAAGTAATAGAAATAGAAATAAAACATAAATAAACAAATTACAGCTGGTTAAACATGCAAGCTGTTGCACAGCAAAGAAAAAATTAATATGTCAAGATGAAAAAAGTCAATCCTCCGAATGGGACAGAATATTTGCAAATGAAGCTACTGACAAAGGATTAGCTTCCAGCATATATAAGCAGCTCTAGCAGCTCAAGTGAGCAGAAGACCTAAAAAGACACTTTTCCAAAGAAGACATACAGATGGCTAACAAACAGGTGAAAAGATGATCAACATCACTAATTATTATAGAAATGCAAGTTAAATCTCAAATAGGGTACCACTTCACACTAGTCATAATACCCATCATTGAAAGATCTATAAACAGTAAATGTTGGAGAGTATGTAGATAAATGGGAATCCTCTTTGTACTGTTGGTGGGAATGTAAATTTATACAGCCTCTATGGAGTATAGTATGGAGCTTCCTTAACTAGGAATAAAGCTACCATATAACCCAGCAATCCCACTACCAGGAATATCACCTCAGAAATCCACAATTTTAAAAGACATATGCATCCCATTGTTCACTGAAGCATTATTTACTATAGCCAGGCATAGACACAACCTATACATTCATTGATAGTTGAATGGATAAAGAAGTTGTAGTAATATAAAAGGGAATATTACTCATCCATAAAAAGGAATGGATTTGAGTAAGTGGTAGTGAGGTGTATGAGGTTTAGAGCCTGTTATAAAAAGTGAAGTAAATAAAAAGGTGAAAAATAAATATATTAAAGCATGCTAATTGGAATCTATAAAAATAGTGCTGATGAACATATTTTCAGGACATGAATGGAGACACAGACATCAAGGACAATCTGTGGACATGATGGGGGAAAGAAAGTTTTGGATGAACTGAAAAATTACAGTTGACATATATGCACTAACATGTGTAAAATAAATATCTAGTGGGTGCTGATATGTGATACAGGGAGCCCAGCCTGGCAGTCCTTGATGACCTAGAGGAGTGGGATGTGGGTATTAGGAAGAACCTCAAGATGGAGGGGATCTATACATATATATGACTATACATATACCTATCGATATCTAGCTATGACTGATTTTCATCGTGGTATGATGGAAACAGCACAACATTGTAATTGTCCTCAAATTAAAATTAAAATAGGTAATTATCAATATGCATGTTTCTATTGCTATTTCTTAATTGTTTTGAGTTGAAGTTGTAGGTTTTTTTTCTCTTTTGTTCCCTGCTTTAAGAAATTCCTTTAGTGTTTCTTGTAAAGCTGGTTTAGTGGTGCTGAATTCTCTAAGCTTTTTCTTCTCTGTAAAGCTTTTGATTTCTTCACTAAAGCTGAATGTGCTACTGAGTAGAGTACTCTTGATTGTTATTTTTTTTTTCTTTTCATTACTTTAAATGTATCTTCATACTCCCTTCTGGCCTGCAGAACCTGTGCTAAAAAATCAGCTGATAGTGTTATCTGGAATTTCTCATATGGTATTTCTTGATTTTTCCTTTATATTTTTAATATTTTTATTTTTTTATTTCTTTCCCCCCCCTTTAGTTTGATTAACTATGTTTTGTCCTGTTTCTCCTTTACTTTATCTTGTATAGGACTTTGGGTTTCCTGCACTTGAATTTTTACTGTCCTATGTTAAGATAGTTTTCGATTATAATCTCTCCAAATATTTTCTCAGAGCTTTTCTCTCTCTTTCTTTTCTGGAACCCCTTCTGACCACCAGTTTTTGACAGCTAGCTTTTTTGAAATACTTTTGTACATAATTAACACAAGGATTTGCTGTTTTAAAGATGTTCTTGAAAATCTTTATCCTTTATTAATTTTACTGTTATTTATCTGAGTATGATTTTTTTCCCTTTTATCCTGCTAAGAGTTGGTTGAGATTTTGGGTGCGTAGATAGGCTTTTTCCTCAAATTTTGTATTTGAGCACTGTTTTCAATTTTTCAATTTTTTTTTCCTCTCATCTCACTGCCAAAATACACCCTTGGGACATGTCAATCACCCAGGAACAACAGTGGTTCTAGCAGTTGTCCTGGGCAACTCTTTCCCTGATCTCTCTGTCAAGCTCTAGGCCTTTCTTAGTATCATACCAACAATTTGTTGTTGCTGTTCTGTCACCAAGTTCTGTCCAATTATTCACTATCCCAATGACTGCAGCATGCCAGGCCTCCCTGTCCTCCACCATCTCGCAGAGTTTGATCAAGTTCATGTCTATCACTTTTATGATGCCATCCAATAATCTCATCCTTTGTCACCTCTTTCCCAGCATAAGAGTCTTTTTCAAACGGTTGGTTGTTCACATCAGGTAACCAAACAATTGGAGTTTGTTTCAGCATTAGTCCTTCCAATGAGTACTCAGAGTTCATCTCCTTTAGGATTGACTGATTTGATCTGACTAATTTGATCTCCTTGCTGTGCAAGGAACTCTTAAGAGTCCTGCAGTTCAACAGCATCAATTTTTCGGCACTCTGTCTCTTTATGGTCCAGCTCTCACAATTGTACGTGACTATCATATACCAACAGTTAGGTTGCACTAGTTTCTGGCTGTCTACCATATTTGACAAAGCCCTGAGGCATAATATCCTATGCATTAGGATCCAATTAACTTAAAGATCCTTGAGGAGGTGATCAGTATAGTGAAGGATTGAGAAATGGAGCCTACCTTCTTCCTGCAGATACATCAAAAATATATCTACATATGGAACAAGTCTCAGAAAATATCTTCTGAATGCTCATACAAAATATCTTTTGTATGCTCAGACATACAAAAGGACAAGAAAATCTCCATGTAAGAGAGCAGGGCAGAAGGAAAAGAAAATAATAATAATAAGGAGAGAAAAAGGAATCATGACAAGATGTGTGTCTCTGGGAAGGATTGGTGAAGGAGGAAATGTTTCTTCACACTGGGAAGTCCCTCACATGTGGGGATGGGGCAGGGGTTATCTTTGCAGCCTTGGAGGAGAGCTTAGGGACAGATATAAGGCAGGCAAAGTAGAGAAAGACCAGCACTGAAAGTCAGTGCTGATTATTGGCACTCCCCAGTCTGAGACACTTGTCTATTCATCCAACTCCAGGGAAGTTGGAGGCTAAATGTTGAGACTAGGGCTTCAGAGGTCAGACTTTGGGGAGAGGACTGGGATTGAGAGAAAACAGCCTGAAGGAGCTAGGGTTTAGTTTGGCAGAGCTGAGAGTATGTTAAAAGAAGCCTGGGGCTTCTAGAGGGACCACTATTGGTGGTTGTTGGGGGCTCTTGGGGGCATGTAAGGAGAAGGACAGGCTCAAAATAGGAGCCTCTTCTCTGTGCAGTCTCAGGACCACCTGCATGAGCTCAAGAGGTGGGAAGGAGCTAGGGCTGATATCTCTGACCCCAGAGGCAGGTGTGGGCCACTGCCACCACTATTACTGAGGATCCTGTGAGAGAGCAAAGGTCACTACTCACACCTTGCTTGGAGCCTGAGCAACCCATTACTGTCAATGGTTATGCAATAAGGGTCCCACTTACCCAGGAGTTTTCATGGTACACCCCAGTCTTCTGCCGCTTCCTTCCAGTCTCTATTCTGTAGGTACTTTTTCATGTCCCAATAATGGTTGCTTTAATTTCCTTGGTCTGAGTAAGTATGCTCCATGCAGCTGCTGCTTTGGACTCCTTATACCTGGGTGCAGAAGATGCCTGAGGATGGCTGATGTGCAGAATTGGGGCCAAAATCAGAGATGACCCACAGGTCCAGTGTAACTAAGGAAGAGGAGCAGAAATGTCTCCATGCAGTTGCCCAAGATTCAGATTAAATCATTGCCATCAGCATGTTAAACTTTGTGTCTGTGGAATGTTGGAATGGACAATGAGTGTTCCCACAACTGAGATCAATCTAGATTAAGCAGTTTTGGATTTTGGGCGCAAGTACACATGAGAGTTGAGAAAGATTAGAGTATGATCTGCTCTTACAGTACCCCAAGATTGTCCAGAGACCAATCTAGAGGAATTAGAGGACCTCCTGGGGAGGAAAGCACTGCTTTTGGTTCATTGTTGGGACAAGTGTACAGATAGCTGATGCCTCAAGAAAATCCTATTATTAGTATTGGTTTTGTTTCATTTTGTTATTTTACTATTTCTCTTTATTGTACTTCATTTTTCTTTTCTTTTTCATATATTTATCTTTATATTTTGACTGTCTCATTGCTTTGTGTTTTTCCTTGTTTTTGTTATTTTTTCTTTATTTGATTTTCTTCTATCTCCTTTTGATCATCTTTACTTATATTATTTTATTTATCTTTTTTTTTTTGCTTTCTCTGCTTTTGGTTTGTTTTTGTTAGTTTTGTTTTCAGTTTTTGTTTTCATTTGTGGGTACTTTCATTGTTCTCTTGTTATTTTGTTTTCCTTTTACTTGTTTGTGTGCTTGTTTTGCTTGTTTGATTTTTCTTTTACCATTTTTCTTGAGTTTTGTTTTTCTGCTCGCTTTTCTCTTTTTGTAGTTGTTCATTTCTGTCTCTCTTATCTGTCTTGGCTTTTGCTTTTCTGCTTGCATTCCTTCATTCAATTTTTAATTTCTTTTTGCCATGCCATGCTGTTTTCAGGTTCTCTGTTTCCCAGCCAGATATCAAGCCTGAGTTCCTGTGGTGGGAATGTTAAATCCAAGATCTGGACCACCAAAGAAATCCCAGAGCCAGGAAATATTAATTGGTGAGAGTTCTCCCAGTGATCTCCATCTTGACATAAAGTCCCAGCTCCACACAGTCATCTGCAGGTTTCAGTGCTTGACACCTGGTGCCAAACAATTGGCAAGATAGGAACCTACCCATCAGTAGACAGAAAGTCTAAAGTCACACTAAGCTCACAGACATCATAAAACAACAACACCTGATATGGCCCTTAAATTAGAGGGACAAGCCTTAGTTCCACCCACTAGAGTAGGGGCACTAGTGCTTCCAACCAGGAAGCCTACATAAGTCACTGGAACAAACTCATGCACCAGTGAGCAGACACCAGAAGCAAGAGGAATTATAGCCCTGCAGCTACTGGAAAGGAGACCTCAGATGCAGGTAATTAGACAAAATGAGATGACTGAGAAATATTTTGTAGGGGAAGACCCTGCTGTGTCTGATGAAGCATGTGCAAAGGGTATCAGTCTGGAGGGAAAATCTGCATGCTGAGTCGTTTCAGTTATGTCCAATTCTTTGAGACTCAAAGGACTACAACCCACCAGGCTCCTCTGTGTATGGGATTATCCAGGCACGAATACTGTAATGGGTTGCCATTTCCTCCACCAGGAGTTCTTCCCCAGCCAGGGATGGAACTTAATCCCTCTTTCATCTCTTACATTTGCAGGCAGGTCCTTTACCATTAGTGCCACCTGGAAGCAATGAAAAAACCTACAAAATCAACTAAATGAAGAAGAGATATGCAATCTACCTGAAAAAAATAAATTCAGAGTAAGGACAGTAAAGATGATCCAAGATCTCAGAAATAGGCTGGAGACACAGATTGAGAACACAAAAGAAACATTTAACAAGGAGTTAGAAAAACTAAAGAACAGACAATCTGATGAACAACACAATAACTGAAATAAAATTATGCTAGAAGGAATCAATAGCATAATAGCTGAGACAAAAGACTAGATAAGCAAACTGCTATATGGAATAAGTGACATGAAGCAGAATAAAGATAAAAGAATGAAAAGAATTAAAAATAGTCTCAGAGATCTCAGGGACAAAATTAAGAGCACCATCATTTGAATTATAGGGGTCCCAGAACAGGAAGAGTAAGAGAAGAGTCTGAAAAAATATTTGAATAAATTATAATTGAAAATTTCCTTAACATTAGGAAGGAATGTTCCTTAACCACTTCCTTAACCACTGAAGCCCATGAAGCACAGAGTATCCCAAATAGGATCAACATAAAGAGAAACACATGTTATGTGTTTAATATGTGATACATATTAATCACACTAACAGAAATTAAAAGAAAAAAATCAGAAATAGCAAGGAAAATGCAAAAATAATAATAATAATACAAAAGAATCCTCATAAGGTAATCAGCTTATTTTTCAGCAGAAAATCTTCAGGGCAAAATATAGTGACATTCTATATTTCAAGTGGTGAAAGGGTAAAATCTACAACCAAGAATACTCTAACCAGAAAGAATCTTTTTCAGATTCTACAGAATAATCAAAAGATTTACAGATATGTAAAAGCTAAGAAAATTCAGCTTCACCAAATAAGCTTTACAAAAATGCTAAAGGAATTTCTTTAGGTGGAAAACATAAGAAAAAAAGGCTACAAAAAACAAACCCAAGATTGTTAATAAAATGATAAAAGGAGTATGCATATTGATAACTGTTTTAAATGTAAAAGGATCAAATGCTACAACTAAAAGATGCAAAATGAAGGGATGGATACACAAAAAGATCTATATGTATATTGTCTACAAGAGACCCACTTCAGATTTACAGGCACCACAGACTGAAAATGAGGGAATAGAAAAATATTTTCCATTCAAATTGAAGTCAAAAGAAAGCTGGAGTAGGAGTTCTTATATCAGATAAACTAAAGAAGGACGCTGCATATGAAGAAATTATTCCAAAAAGAAGATATAACAATTATAAATATATATGCACCCAACATAGGCGCACCTCAGTGCATAAGGAAAATGCTAACAGATATAAATGGTAAAACTGAAAGTACCACAATAATATTGGGGAACTTTAATGTCTCACCTACAGAAATGATCATCCTGATAGAAAATTAATAAGGAAGCACAAGCAGTAACTGACATATTAGACCAGATAGACTAAATTGATATTTATAGGAGATTACACTCAAAAACAGCAGAATACACTTTCTTCTCAAGTGCACATGAAACATTCTCCAGAAAAAAATCACATCCTGGGTCACAAATCAGGCTTTGATAGATTTAAGAAAATTGAAGTCTTATAAGGCTTCTTTTCTTACCATAATTCTATGAGTTTAGAAATCAATTACAGAAAAAAAAAACTGTAAATATCTCAAACAAAACAAAGCTAAACCAATATGATACTAAATGAACAAGAGATCACTGAAGAAATCAAAGAGGAAGTAAAAAAATAAATTTTAAAAAATGACAATAAATAAATAGCCTATAACCCAAGAGATGCAGCAAATGCAGTTTCGCGAGGGAAGGATTTCCTAATAAGAAACAAGAAAAATCTCAAA